AAGGGTATAATAAATGATATGAAAGGGTTGTTTGTTTGTATGACTATTCATCGTTAAATTATAGCCCGAACTGAAGATGTTTGGCTGTGAAACAACAATACACGAAATATGTAAAAAACTATTAAAAACAGTCTTTCCAAAAAGATAATAGCTAAAAGATCACCCTTTATAATTGTAAAAATATGGAATATGACAGTGTGTAAAAAAACTTCACAATTTCCTCTAATCATATCTGGAAACTTTATAAAAATCGGTTTAGTAGTAGCCGAGATATTCGTATTTCAATTCAACGATGGTCCGAAATACACCTCCTGTTCGATTCTGGTCGCCTATTACCTGAAAATGAAAAACCGCACAAAACTCAGTCTTTTAAAAATGGCAAAAAATTGTTTTCATAATGTCTGCTGTTGTATGAAAATTATAGCATACTTGTAGGGGCAAAGGGCAGTTCGAGGTGTAATTTCTTGTTTCTTGATATGTGTGTACCTACAATCACGCGTGTGATTGTATGTAATTTATGCATATATGCAATGTAAAATATATTTAGTAATTACACATAGATCGATTTTTGTGGTGTTTCTCATTTTTTTGTAATAGGCGCCCAGCATCGAACAGAAAGTATATTTCGGATCATTGGGCAACGTCTTACGTTTCAGACAGTAGCGACACGTAATGCGAGATAGAATTATCGAGAGAAAGGAAAAACGTATTTTCAAAAAAAAAAAAAAAAACGTGAGCGTAAGCAAATCGATATGTACAAGAGTCAGAATGATGTCCGGAAATTTTACCAACGAGTAATACACCAAACCGAAGGCTTTGGCGCAGGCACATCCTCCAGTAGAGATGAAGATGGGAAGCTAGTGACAAATACAGATAGCGTGTTGAGGATCTGCAAGGAGCATTTTGCAAAGTTTCGGGTATCAAATAGTGGCGGTGCAGAAGATACCCCAAAACCAATAAGACTGATGGTATAGATCGAATACCACCTAGTCAAGATTAGGTCAGAGTAGCAATTAATCGGCTAAAGAACAATAAAGTAGCAGATGCTGATGGATTACCAGCCGAACTATTCAAGACCGGTGGTCAGATGTTGGTCAGGAGCATACACCAGCTTATTAGTACAATTTGGCTAGAGGAATACATGCCCAACGATTGGAACCTCAGCATCCCGTGTACTTTCCAAAAAATTATAGGTGTTTAAATCCATGTCTGCGTTCGTCATTCCTGCAAAGTTAATATGGCTATGCAGTATAACTTTAAAGGAAAGGTCCTCTCGGAGCCCTTTAATACCGAACGAGGATTCAGAAAAGGTGACAGTTTATCGTGTGATCTTGTGTCATCATGCTAGAAAAGGTCATACGAGTGGCAAAGATGAACAGAAATGGTACTCTGTACACTAAACAACATGTGTTGTTTATGTGGATGACATCGACGTAGGGTCGAACATTGAGAGCAGTAACAGCCACCTTTGTACAACTTGAGAAGGACTCTGCCAAAGTGGGTCTGGCAGTAAATGGCGAAAAGACCAAGCTGATGGTATCAACGTGCAAGACGTCCAGTAAACTCGCACCAACTGTGGAACTTGAGAACTACAGCTTCGAGGCAGTCAGAGATCAACGATTTTATATACCTTGGTACCGCCATAAAAAACTAATGACATCAGTTTTGAAATTCGGAGGAGAATATTGTAAGCCAACAGATGCTACTATGGTCTAAGTAAGCAATTCAGAAACAAGGCCACTTCTTGCCAGACCAAACTCACGCTCCATAAGACGCTTATACTACCCGTGCTGTTGTAGTGCTTGAGAGAAAAATTCTCCGAAAGATTTATAGATATAGATCACAGATCTATATCGGTGAATATCGCCGTCGAATGAACCATGAGTTGTACCATCTATTCTCGGACATCGATATAGTCAGACGGATCGAGCTGCAGCGACTACATTGGCTTGGCATATAAAAGCGAGCCAACTGATGGATCGAGTAGTAGGGAAAGCCTACGAATTCGATGGGAAGATAAAGTGGAAGACAACTTCTCGGAGCATGATCTTTCATATTGGAAGAGCAGCGGCTTATTGGAAAAATGCTCTGTCACAAGCCAGCTAAGTAAGTATCTTCCATACGCAGTAAGATTTTGTACCCTCCACCATAGTATAGAGGGTATATTAATTTCGTTTTTCCGTTTGTAACTCATCGAAATAATCATATCCATCATAATGGACACTATAAAGTGTGTATGTTCTTGATCAGCGTAAAATTCTATGACGATCTAAGCATGCCGGTGTGTCCGTCTGTCTTTTGTAATCACTCTAACGTCTAAACGAATTGATATAGAACGCCAAAATGTTGCATAGAGTCGTCTTTTGTCTGCAGCCAGGTCAATTTCGAAGATGAGCTATATCAGTCCACGTTTAGGCATAGCTACCATATAAAGGCACCCCCAACTTTTCGATATTTTGGGGTTCTTGAGCGAATTTTTCAACCGAATTCGCTGAAATTTGGTACACTGTACAAAAAATTATAAATATAGGTCCACGTTCTTGGTAGCCCCGGTATAACAGTACCACCAATTTTCAGTTTTTCCCCCGAATTAGCTGTTGAGCGCGTTTTACAACCGAATTTGCTTAAATTTGGTACAATGGGTTCTTATATCGGACCACTTTTTCTGGTAGCCCCTATCCCCCTTCCAATTTTCAGTTTTTGGGTGGTTTTGACCAGATTTTTTCACCGAATTTGCTGAAATTTGGTACTTTGAGTTCTTATTGGATAGCGAATCTCTCCACTAAAAATTATAAATATAGGCAAATTTTTTTCTGGTAGTCTCCATATAAGGGTTTGGTTCAAAGTGGATATCAAAAAAAATGAGGAACATTTTTGACCATTTTGTGTGAGAGCTACCGGAAGTAGTGGGCAGATATTCCCACCTTCGAACTTGATTTAACTCCTTTCGAGAGTTATCGTGTCGACCAGACATACAGACGGACATTTGTAAATCCAATTCATATTGTCTGGATTTGGTCCAAAGAGATATGGCGCCCAAAATCAATATTATGAAGAGGAAAATTTTTGCCATAGAAAAGTGTATATCCATAAGGCAAGACAGCTCCAATTCCTATTTATAATACAAAAGATATATCCTGAAGAAAATATTTTAAATGTGTAATATTTAAACGTAAACGAAACTACGAAATGGATAATCTTGTGACTTTAAGATATGAAAATATCGGATAGAGGAGAAAATCCATATTGGTCCAGTTTAGAGATGTTTAAAACTCATACATAATAAATACTTAATTAAAACTAATTTTATTTATTTACGAACAAAATAATAATGTTTTCTTTCACCACTTATGCTAATTAAGACATTGATAAATTATATACATCTATATTATTATAAAACATTGTATTATTAGTATCCGGTGCAGGCCATTCCCATTGTGGTAGGTTGGGGATAATGAAGTCTTGATATATCTTATAGACCAAATATAACTGCAATGCTCGATAAAGTAAAATTTTACTGTCAGGATGAAAGTGAACAAAATATATATTAATTATATGATATATAAAATGCAATAACAAAAAAGTTAATTAAAAAAATTATAATATTTTTAAAATAAAATACAATTGATATTTCAGTTATTCTCACATTTTAAGTATAAACCTTGATCTTGGTATAGTTGCAGGATCTTCTTTTAACAGCACTTCTCGTGATTTTAACATCAAATCATTAATAAAGCCGGCATGTATATATTTGTTATTGAAATATCGCATTATATCCACATCAAATTCGGTACTGGGAAATTAAGCAAACAATTATAATCAATTCTATGCATTTTTTTTAATTTTTAACACACCCATTTAACTCTTCAAGCATTTCCTTATAGTAACTTGTTCCGCTGCAATCGAAATTATTGACCACCAATTTTCAGTTTTTCCCCCGAATTAGCTGTTGAGCGCGTTTTACAACCGAATTTGCTTAAATTTGGTACAATGGGTTCTTATATCGGACCACTTTTTCTGGTAGCCCCTATCCCCCTTCCAATTTTCAGTTTTTGGGTGGTTTTGACCAGATTTTTTCACCGAATTTGCTGAAATTTGGTACTTTGAGTTCTTATTGGATAGCGAATCTCTCCACTAAAAATTATAAATATAGGCAAATTTTTTTCTGGTAGTCTCCATATAAGGGTTTGGTTCAAAGTGGATATCAAAAAAAATGAGGAACATTTTTGACCATTTTGTGTGAGAGCTACCGGAAGTAGTGGGCAGATATTCCCACCTTCGAACTTGATTTAACTCCTTTCGAGAGTTATCGTGTCGACCAGACATACAGACGGACATTTGTAAATCCAATTCATATTGTCTGGATTTGGTCCAAAGAGATATGGCGCCCAAAATCAATATTATGAAGAGGAAAATTTTTGCCATAGAAAAGTGTATATCCATAAGGCAAGACAGCTCCAATTCCTATTTATAATACAAAAGATATATCCTGAAGAAAATATTTTAAATGTGTAATATTTAAACGTAAACGAAACTACGAAATGGATAATCTTGTGACTTTAAGATATGAAAATATCGGATAGAGGAGAAAATCCATATTGGTCCAGTTTAGAGATGTTTAAAACTCATACATAATAAATACTTAATTAAAACTATTTTTATTTATTTACTAAACAAAAACATAATAATTTTTTCTCTTACACCACTTATGCTAATTAAGACATTGATACATTATATACATCTATGTTATTATAAAACATTGTATTATTAGTATCCGGTGCAGGCCATTCCCATTGTGGTAGGTTGGGGATAATGAAGTCTTGATATATCTTATAGACCAAATATAACTGCAATGCTCGATAAAGTAAAATTTTACTGTCAGGATGAAAGTGAACAAAATATATATTAATTATATGATATATAAAATGCAATAACAAAAAAGTTAATTAAAAAAATTATAATATTTTTAAAATAAAATACAATTGATATTTCAGTTATTCTCACATTTTAAGTATAAACCTTGATCTTGGTATAGTTGCAGGATCTTCTTTTAATAGCACTTCTCGTGATTTTAACATCAAATCATTGATAAAGCCGGCATGCATGTATGTGTTATTGAAATATCGCATTATATTCACATCGAATTCGGTGCTGGAAAATTAAGAAAATAATTATAATCAATTCTATGCATTTTTTTTAATTTTTAACACACCCATTTAACTCTTCAAGCATTTCCTTATAGTAACTTGTTCCGCTGCAATCGAAATTATTGAACATAAAAGGTTTGAGCACATCGACAGTTGTGAACAACTTTCGCTGGATTTTCATTAATTGCGGTTTGTGACCCAACATTTTAAGGATGCCATCTACCAATAGGGCTGGCAGGAATTGTTGAATGAAGAACTGAAAAAAATAGAATTCGATATTTAAAAATATTTTATTCAGGACATAAGACCGAATACTTTTTTCAGGGACTATAATAGGTGTGAAATTTTTAAGGACTATAATAGACGTGGATTTTTTATGGAATATATTTTTAAAGGAATAATTTTTCGAGGACTATAACACAAATAGGCGTGGATTCTTTAAGGAATATTTTTTTCAAGGACTATAACACAAATAGGCGTGGATTCTTTAAGGAATATTTTTTCAAGGACTATAACACAAATAGGCGTGGATTCTTTAAGGAATATTTGTTCAAGGACTATAACACAAATAGGCGTGGATTCTTTAAGGAATATTTTTTCAAGGACTATAACACAAATAGGCGTGGATTTTTAAGGAATATTTTTTCAAGGACTATAACACAAATAGGCGTGGATTCTTTAAGGAATATTTTTCCAAGGACTATAACACAAATTGGCGTGGATTCTTTAAGGAATATTTTTTCAAGGACTATAACACAAATAGGCGTGGATTCTTTAAGGAATATTTTTTCAAGGACTATAACACAAATTGGCGTGGATTCTTTAAGGAATATTTTTTCAAGGACTATAACACAAATAGGCGTGGATTCTTTAAGGAATATTTTTTCAAGGACTATAACACAAATTGGCGTGGATTCTTTAAGGAATATTTTTTCAAGGACTATAACACAAATAGGCGTGGATTCTTTAAGGAATATTTTTGCAAGGACTATAACACAAATAGGCGTGGATTCTTTAAGGAATATTTTTTCAAGGACTATAACACAAATAGGCGTGGATTCTTTAAGGAATATTTTTTCAAGGACTATAACACAAATAGGCGTGAATTCTTTAAGGAATATTTTTTCAAGGACTATAACACAAATAGGCGTGGATTCTTTTAAGGAATATTTTTTCAAGGACTATAACACAAATAGGCGTGGATTCTTTAAGGAATATTTTTTCAAGGACTATAACACAAATAGGCGTGGATTCTTTAAGGAATATTTTTTCAAGGACTATAACACAAATAGGCGTGGATTCTTTAAGGAATATTTTTTAAGGACTATAACACAAATAGGCGTGGATTTTTAAGGAATATTTTTTCAAGGACTATAGAGGCGTGGATTCTTTAAGGAATATTTTTTCAAGGACCATTCAAGGCGTGGATTCTTTAAGGAATATTTTTTCAAGGACTATAACACAAATAGGCGTGGATTTTTAAGGAATAATTTTTCAAGGACTATAACACAAATAGGCGTGGATTTTTAAGGAATAATTTTTCAAGGACTATAACACAAATAGGCGTGGATTTTTAAGGAATAATTTTTCAAGGACTATAACACAAATAGGCGTGGATTTTTAAGGAATAATTTTTCAAGGACTATAACACAAATAGGCGTGGATTTTTAAGGAATAATTTTTCAAGGACTATAACACAAATAGGCGTGGATTTTTAAGGAATAATTTTTCAAGGACTATAACACAAATAGGCGTGGATTTTTAAGGAATAATTTTTCAAGGACTATAACACAAATAGGCGTGGATTTTTAAGGAATAATTTTTCAAGGACTATAACACAAATATGCGTGGATTTTTAAGGAATAATTTTTCAAGGACTATAACACAAATAGGCGTGGATTTTTAAGGAATAATTTTTCAAGGACTATAACACAAATATGCGTGGATTTTTAAGGAATAATTTTTCAAGGACTATAACACAAATAGGCGTGGATTTTTAAGGAATATTTTTTCAGGCACACTAACACCCATCAGGTCCCAAATTATACCTACCACAATTTTGTATAGAGCGCGATTATCCGTTACAATGGCCCCAGGTATAAGAACATTTTTCTCAAATGCTGAATCATAGATAATGTTAAATTTCTTCACCAGTTCCAGATGTTCTTTAATCGTAATATCCGAATGGGTTGATGATACTGTATGGTAGATTGGTATATCTTGAGGCCTTCTTTGATCGTCATATATCATAGCCGTTTTCATGGTATAATAAAGTAAATGCTTTACAACCAAATCTTGAGGGGCTACATCCAAACGTATATCTGGCGTAGTTGGTACACCCTTCATGATACCCGCTGCGTAGGCAAGAAATATAGCCATGGCACCAACAAAGCCGGTGGGAAAGCCTGGTTCAGGTTCAGCCACAGACTGTATGACTACAAGGAGGGGGATTCTTAATTGTTAATGAATTTATTTCCTGTAAGTTTAACGTACCTATAGAAGGTCGGTATATGGCCAAGGGTAGCTCATGGCGAAAATCATTTACCAAAGATTCGGTTAAATTCTTGGTAAAACTGTAGGTATTTGGAAAACCAATGATTAATCTGAAAAATAAAATATGTATCATTATATTTTTTCCAATATCCCTTAGATATGATACCCACTTCCTTGTCAGAGTATCCAACATATCATCCGTTATATCCGAACGTTGACATAAATCCAAACAAAATTTCCAATCCATTGGTGATTGATATACTTTAGGTTCAGTATATTCCAAATAGGGATTACTGTAGAATGTCGAAACATGTATTACCGCTTGGAGTTTTTTCAGATTCTGAGCCAATTTTAAAACTTCATATGTGCCACCAACATTTAATTTTATCGCCTGCCGTAGGGGCTCATCAAAACGCACCGTTGCCGCACTGTGTATAATAATGGAGACGTTTTCCAATTTCTGCATATATTCCGGTGTAACACCCAATTGGGGTAGTTCAACGTCTCCGGGTATGATGGTGACTTTCTCGTCAAACTCATTGGGTTTTTCCGACATCAAACGGCGGAAAATCTGTAATTTGAAAAAAAGAAATAGTATTAAATAAATCACCGAATTTCTAGTCATTGAATTATTGCAGAATAATTCATAAATAAAAATCGGTTTTTTTTCTTACCAAATCTTCCTTCATCTTTTTCAATCGTTCAGTATGTGTGGCATATTTCTTGGGACGTAGTAACAAATAAATTCGACCAACATTACAAGATCGTAACAATTTATCAAGCAATGATTTACCGACGGTACCTGAAATTAATTACGAAAATCAAAATATTATCTAGTGGCAATGGCTCATCTTCAACGCCATCTGTTGATGGCCATGATTCAAATATCCAAATGAAAAAAAAAAATATTGTTTTCTTTTTGTCATAAAAGAGATTTGTACGATATGGGTGTCATATGAGGTAAAATATCTCATTTTTAAAATATTTTTCAATTTTCGCTTGTTCCTCTTAATATCCTCCACCATAGTATGGAGGGTATATTCATTTTGTTTTTCCTTTTGTAACTCATCGAAATAATCATTTCCGACTCTATATATTCTGGATCAGCGTAAAATTCTATGACGATCTAAGCATGCCCGTCAGTCTGTTGTAATCACTCTAGCGTCTAAACCAATTCATATAGATCGCCAAAAATTAGCATAGAGTCGTCTTTTGTCTGTAGGCAGGTCAAGTTCGAAGATGGGCTATATCAGTTTTTGGGGTGTTTTGACCGTATTTTTTGGCCGAATTGGCTGTAAGTTTGTACTTTAAGTTCTTATTGGGTAGAAAATCACTCCACTAAAAATTATAAATATAGGTCAATTTTTTCGGGTAGCTCCCATATAAGGGATCAGCGTAAAATGTCGATTTAAGCATGTCCGTCCGTCTGTTGTAATCACTCTCGGGTCTAAACGAATTGAGTTAGACCAAAATTTTGCACAGAATTGTCTTTTGTCTGCAGGCAGGTCAAGTTCGAAAATGGGCTTAATCGGTCCACGTTTAGGCATAGCTCCCATATAAGGGTACCTCCCAATTTTTGGTATTTTGGGGTTTTTAAGTTAGTTTTTCAAGCGAATTCGCTGAAATTTGCTACATTGGGTTCTTATTGGGCACCAAATTTCTCCAATAAAATTATAAATATCGGTTCACTTTTTCTGGTAGCCCGCATATAGCGGTACCCCCAAAATTTAAAGTATTTTGGGGTTCTTTGGCTAGTTTTTCAAACGATTTCGCTGAAATTTGGTACATTGGGTTCTTATTGGGTACCAAATTTCTCCACTAAAAATTATAATTATTGGTCCACTTTTCCTGGTGGCCTCCATATAATGGTAACCCCAATGATTCGCATTTTGGGGTTCTCAAAGGCGTTTTTCAACCGAATTCGCTGAAATTTATTACATTGAGTTTTTATTGGGCATTAAAGTTCTCCACTTATAATTGTAAATATAGGCTAATTTTTTTGATATCCCGTACCCTTCAATTCTGATATAACGGTAGCCACTGATTATCGGTATTTTGGGTGTTTCTGAGTCGATGTACGCATGTCCGTCCGTCCATGTAGTTTTGTGAACAAAATACAGATCGCATTTATCCTATTTCAATTAGGTCCATGTGTTTATATATAGCTCCCATACATAAATTTACTCTATTTCATACAGATGGTACTAAATTTTTGTGAATTTTCATATGGGTCTTATATACATTTTCGTTCGATTTCATGTAAATGCACCAATGCTCCCATACATAAATTTACTCTATTTCATACAGATGGTACACCAAATAATCCAAGTCTGCCCCTTTGTTATGCAATTTTTCATCGCAAACCTCCGCTGAGGGTATACATCCGTTGGCAACACCGACCGACCGAAAGCGTCCATTACAAAATCCCACCCCATTTTCGGTAGAGTAGTGTAGGGTTTAATCGCTCATCCCTATCCTATGTATGAAGTGGTTGTATTTTAGCATTTCGGATACTCCAAGAGCGAGAAAAAATGTTACATCGATTTTAGTATGGATCCATGTATTGAAATTCGCGTTTTGCTCGTATTTTTAGCAGCAAATTCCCATCGAAGTTTGAATAAACATGTTCTTCACTTATAAATGTAGGCCCATGTTTTTTAATAGCCCCCATACAATAGTACCGAATTAACACTTTTCACAACATTCTAATATATAATTTCATCTTTTGATATTTTATATTTTCTTACCCGAACCACCGGTTATAAAAATTTCACGATTTTCAAAAAAATCTTTTATCATGATTCTTTCTTCAAAAATTCCAAAATGTCAAGTTATGCTTACAACTTCAATGTTTAAGACAAACTAAAAGCACACCTTAAAATACCTAGCCATAATTATACATAGTTTTCGAACATTTGATCAAATTTAATGTTTTAGAAAAACAAAATTCCGAAACCTAACATAATTGAATTATTCAAATACTTCCGTTATGTTTGAATTTTACATGCATAATATTAAAATATTCAATGTCTAGTCGAATTGATAAATAAATGGATTTAATTAGTTAGGTAGGCACGTTTTTTAATAGTTCTCAGAGGTTGAATATGTTTAAACATTATGTAGATACTGAAGAAAACTTACAACATAAAGACATTGAGGAATTTTATGTACGACATTAACGTTAAGCATTCATATGAGTAAATAAAAAATACGCTGTGCAGCAAAATTTGAGCGGTCAAAAATACCTTAAGAAAAGTAAAGTCCTTGGAGGATATTTTAAGAAGGAAAATTCACCATAGGTCAAGTTTTGGAGTTATTACCTGATGAATTGTTTCTGTTGGTAACTCTAATGTTCATAATGAAAACACCTTATATCAAATGTCTGTCAGCATGTCGATACGCAGGATAACAATCAAAGATGGTAAACGATTTTGTTGTTCGGTTCATTAGTATCCGTTCTGAACCAAATATGGTACAATCTAATCTGTTTTTTTATAAAATCCCATCATGTCCAAAGATCAGATCACTTTTGTAGTATCATTTTTGCACAATTTACATGCAATCGGATAAAATATATATGACATCTATAAACAAATTAGAACAATTTTGAAAAAACCTCAAAACAAGTCATTGTAGTCTCAAGTCTGAAACCCATGCCATCTGGTGAACAATTTTCATGAAATCGAACAAAAATATACATGGGACATAAATCTAAATAAGGTCAATTTAGACAAACGTTAGACCCTTAATGAAATCGGACAAAAATATTTTGTATAAAATTTAATCTGAATTAAATTTGTGTTGACAAGCAGGGGCGTATACAGCGGGGTTGAAAATATCGCTATATAGTTTCTAAAACTAAAACTTTTGTGGCCAACGTGATGCAAACGATGTGGTTGTAATATGGATTCAGGCTCTTGTGTGGAAAAAAACACCTTTCCATTCCTATTCGAAGCTTGAAAAAATATTCGTCTAAAAAAATTCCACCTGTTCGTAGATTGAAAAAATATTCCCTTAAAAAATTCCAGCCTATTGGTAGTTTGAAAAAATATTCCTTTAAAAATCCACGCCTTATTTTACGTAGCTGGCTTATGACAAAACATTTGTTCCATAAGCCGAGCTTAAAAAAGATTTCCAAGCCCGTCGATCTTGCGCGCAGATTTCCAAATTTGTAAGACCAAAATGTTCTCTTCCACTTGATCTTTCCATCGAATTCGTGTCCTTCCCCTTCTGCGTGATCCATCACGTGGCTCGTTTTTATAAGGCTTTTCAGCTAGGGCATCCTCATCTATTTTCACAACGTGACCTAGCCAACGTAGTCTCTGCAGCTCGATACGTCTGACTATGTGGTTGTCCAAGAATAGATAGTACAACTCACGGTTCATTCGACGGAGAATTTTTCTTTTTTTCGGAGAATTTTTCTTTCCATCGCTCCAAGTGCTGCCTCATCTGCTTGCACAAGTACCCATGCTTCAGATCCACACAACAACACGTGTTTTATTAGTGTCTTGTAGAGTGTAAGTTTGGTCTGGCGAGAGGTGGCCTTGTTCCTGAATTGCTTACATAGACCATAGTAGCATATGTTGGCCAAAATCTCTCTCCGAATTCCAAAACTGATGTCATTTTATTTATGGCGGTACCATAGTCTATATAATCTTTAACTACCTCGAAGCTGTAGTTTTTAAATTCCACAGTTGGTCCGAGTCTATTGGACGTCTTGCGCTTGATATTCTCGCCATTTACTGCCAGACCCACTTTGGCAGGCTCGCTCTCAATTTGTTTAAATGTGGCCGTTACCGCTCTCAATGTTCGACTCATTATGTCGATGTTGATGTACAGGGTGTCATTTTCTTACATTTTCCAGCAGGATGTTAAAAAGATCACACTACAAACTGTCACCTGTCTGAATCCTCGTTAGATATTGAAAGGCTACGATAGGTCCTTTCCGACTTTAACTGCTGACCTTGTGCCAGTTAAAGTTATCCTGCATTCCTGCTAAATTAATAGGCTAATTTTTGCAGGAATACCGAACGCAGACATGGCTATAAACACCTCAGAACGGATAGGTCTGTCGAATGCGGCTTTATAATTGACAAAGAGGTGGAATTTGTCGATGTGTTTTTCGTGAGACTTTTCCAGGATCTTGTGCAAAGTGAAAATATGTTCAATGGTGGATTTGCCAGGCCTGAAGCTGCATTAGTATGCTCCAATAATGTCATTGACCATTGGCTTCGTTTGTAAAATATCCGGACTTCGTTCTGACTCCTGTACATCTTGATTTGCTGGTACATTAAGACGCGTGCGAACCTTGGCTGCCACAAGGTAATGGTCGATCAAACGTCTAAAACATTTGATTAATGCATTCCGTCTATCGTAACATGATCAATTTGATTTCTCGTTGCTTGATCTGGAGAAATCCAGTCGGCGCTGTGAATATCAAGATGCTTAAACCCGATGCTACTAACTACTATTTTTTGCAAGTTCAATTAGTTGATCGCTCTTTTAACTGAACTAGTTCGGTGTTGTAGTTCATTAGTTCAATCGTTCGCAATGAAGCTCTTTTATTCAGCTGTCGTTCTACTTCGGTTGTTCTTTTAATATTTCGTAGCTCTCCGAATCGTTCATTTAATAATTTGTGTTCTTTAATAGTTTGTGTTCACTTTTATGGACCTATATGGCGAGGATATTTAAAGAAGATTTTCAGAAGAGTTTAATGACCTATAAGGTGTGGATTTTTTAAAGAAATGCTTCCGAATTTCAGACCTATGAAGCCTGCATTAAAAAAGTATTAGAAAAATCTTTGGACCTATAAAGCGAGGGTTTTAGAGAAAAGTTTCAGAAAATTCCAGTTTGTTCATTTATTGAACCAAAAATAATGACTTTGTAAGACCTGGTTCAGTCGGTCTTTTAAGAGAATCGTTCATTTGAAATAGTTCGTTCGTAATCTGTACAACTCTACTAGGGATATGTAGTCGAGCACAAATTGGCATTTATTAAAAGTCGATTTTTTTTAAAACAGTCGACTTTTCGATCTTGTCAAACCTGTTCAAAATCGACATTCGAAGGTATAGTCTCTATAAAAAGGTCTAGATCGATATTAGTTTTCTTGATGTCCATCTCATTTATAGGTCGTTCGGTTCGTTTGTCTGCTTGGCTAAACATGGCTAACATTTATTTCTAAACTGTATTTATTTGAAATTTCGTATAAAATCCATTTAACGTAATCATACGTTATTCCTCCATTTATTATTATATAATAAAAATTACATAGAATAATTCATAAATTCAGTATAATTGGTATGTAAATTCCATTCCAACGTCGCTAGCCAAGGAGCTATTAAACAAATATAACATTTGTATGCCAAGTAGATTTGTAGAGCGCGATATAATGCAATTTTTCTAAAATGAAAAGAAAACAAACAATTTATTAAAGTAAAACCATCTAAAACATATAAGACGTTTGAAATCGCCTAAATTTAGTACAGATTTTTTAAGTGCTTACATTTTAAGTATTATTCTGGCTCGTGGAATTGTTGCGGGATCCTCTTTTAGTAGAATTTCACGACATTTTTTAATCATATCATAAGTGAAGCCAGCACTAGTAAAGACACTTTTGGAATAGCGCAAAACATCTACATTGAAATCAGTTCTGAAATGAATATGAAATTGGTATTCAATTTGAATTATATTTATCTATACTAATAAAAGAGTAAAGTGACTGACTGATTTAACGATTTATCAACGCCCAGACGAAACGGCTGAAACTATAATCTTGAAATTTTGGGTGAGGGTCACTCTTGGTCCAAAGGTGACAGATAAGGCTGGGTTTTTGGAAATTCGTACTACAACGTTACGAAAAGTACTAAATGTGAAACCATTTGTATTTGGCGAACCGGAAGAGCTAGAACTCTCTAATTTGGATTGGAGGTTTTTGGAAATTCGAACTATAACTATCCGAAAAGTACTAAAATGTACTTAATTTGGTACAATTTCATAGCATGTGGACGGATAGCTCTAAAAACTTAAAATTTGGAGTGTGAATTAAGGTTGAGAAGTAGGTTCCATTTAAGGAGATGGTTTTGAAAGCGTGTGCTCATGTGTACTAAAAGTACTATATTTGGTGCAAATTTATTTTGGGAGGTACAAATCAAGCTGGAATCCTACAATTTGAAATTAACTTTACCGTCGGAGTGTAGGAATGGCATATGTACGAATTTTTGGAAAATTTTTACTAACGGGTACGAAAAGTAATAAATCGTACTATAATTGGTACACTTCGGATTTGGGTGAACCGATAGAGCGCGAACAATGAAATTTGGAGTCAGGATCATTGTAGAGGTGTAGGATTGGGGTCAGGACTCAGTTTAAGACATTATTACTTATGGGTACTAAATGGTACTAAATTTGGTACAATTTGAATTTTAGGTGAATCAATAGAGCTAGAATCATGAAATTTGGAGTCAGGATCACTGTTGAGGTGTAAGATTGAGATATGCAGGAAGTTTTAGAAATTTGTACTAATGTGTACTAAATTTTGTACAATTTAAATAGTGGGTGAAGCGATTGAGTTGAAATTATGAAATTGTGATTTAGGATCACTGTGGAGGTGTAGGATTGGGGTATGTAGGAAGATTTGGAAATTGGTACTACTGTGTACTAAATTTTGTACAATTTGTATTGTGAGTCAATCGATAAAGTTGGAATCCTCAAATTTAGATTTTGGATGAATGTGGGGGTGTAGGATTTGGGTATGTAGGAAGTTTTGGAATTTGGTACAACTATGTACTAAATTTGGTACAATTTGAGTTGTGAGTCAACCGATAAAGTTGGAATCCTCAAATTTAGATTTTGGATGAATGTGGGGGTGTAGGATTGGGGTATGTAGGAAGTTTTGGAATTTGGTACAACTATGTACTAAATTTGGTGCAATTTGAATTGTGGGAGAACCGATGGAGTTGAAATCATGAAATTTTGATTTAGGATCACTGTTGAGGTGTAGTATTGGGGAATGTAGGAAGTTTTGAAAATTGTTACTACTGTGTACTAAATTTGGTACAATTTGAATTGTGGGTGAACCGATAGAGGTTGAATCCTGAAACTTGGATTTAGCATCACTGTGAGGGTATTGGTTTGGGGTATGTAGGAAGTTTTGGAATTTGGTACAACTATGTACTAAATTTGGTACAATTTGAATTGTGGGTGAACCAATAGAGTTGGAATCCTGAAACTTGGATTTAGGATCACTGTGGTGGTGTAGGTTTGGGGTAAGTAAGAGCTTTTGAAAATGCATTATACTGTGTACTAAATTTGGTACAATTTGAATTGTAGGTGAACCTGTGGATTTGGAATCCTGAAACTTGGATTTAGGATCACTTTCGGGGTGTAGGTTTGAGTCAAGTAGGATGTTTTGGAAATTCATACTACTGTGCACAAAATATGGTACAATTTTAATTGTGGGTGAACCAATAGAGTTGGAATCCTGAATTTTGAATTTGGAATCATTGTGGGGGCGTAGGATCGGGGTATGCAGGAAGTTTTGTTAAATGGCTGTGTACTTATGGAAAAAAAGTGTGCTAAATGGAAAATTTGGTAAAATTTGAAAATAAAATAAAATATTAATTCATGTTTAAATATTTCCTACATTCGCTAACGAAGTTGCGGCGGTGCGGTTAACTTGTGATTTTTTTATAAAAAATATATATTATATTTTTTGATAAATATCCATTGAAACAAATTGCTTTAAAAAATCCACGCCTATTGGTAGCTTGAAAAAAAACATGCTTTAAAATATCCACGCCTATTGGTAGCTTGAAAAAAATTTGCTTTAAAAAATCCACGCCTATTGGTAGCTTGAAAAAAATTTGCTTTAAAAAATCCACGCCTATTGGTAGCTTGAAAAAAACTGCTTTAAAAAATCCATGCCTATTGGTAGCTTGAAAAAAATTGCTTTAAAAAATCCACGCCTATTGGTAGTTTGAAAAAAAATTGCTTTAAAAAATCCACGCCTATTGGTAGTTTGAAAAAAAAAATAGCTTTAAAAAATCCACGCCTATTGGTAGCTTGAAAAAAATTGCTTTAACAAATCCACGCCTATTGGTAGCTTGAAAAAATTGCTTTAAAAAATCCACGCCTATTGGTAGCTTGAAAAAAATTGCTTTAACAAATCCACGCCTATTGGTAGCTTGAAAAAATTGCTTTAAAAAATCCACGCCTATTGGTAGCTTGAAAAAATTGCTTTAAAAAATCCACGCCTATTGGTAGCTTGAAAAAATTGCTTTAAAAAATCCACGCCTATTGGTAGCTTGAAAAAATTGCTTTAAAAAATCCACGCCTATTGGTAGCTTGAAAAAAAATTGCTTTAAAAAATCCACGCCTATTGGTAGCTTGAAAAAAATTGCTTTAAAAAATCCACGCCTATTGGTAGCTTGAAAAAAAAATTGCTTTAAAAAATCCACGCCTATTGGTAGTTTGAAAAAAATTGCTTTAAAAAATCCACGCCTATTGGTAGCTTGAAAAAAAATTGCTTTAAAAAATCCACGCCTATTGGTAGCTTGAAAAAAACTGCTTTAAAAAATCCACGCCTATTGGTAGCTTGAAAAAAATTGCTTTAAAAATCCACGCCTATTGATAGCTTGAAAAAATATTCCTTTAAAAAATCCATGCCTATCGGTAGCTTGAAAAAATATTTGCTTTTGTTGCTTGAGAAAACATTTTTTAAAAAAAAATCGATTATCGTTGAAAAAATTGTCTTACCCATGCAAACACAGATCCATTTCTTTGTGGTAGCTGATACCATCGGAATCATAATTGTTACACATGAATGGTCTCATGACCTCCAATGTTAAATAAAGTTTACGTTGAATTTGTAACATGACTGGTTTTTGACCCGCCAGTTTGAGTATTGTGTCAACCAACAATGCCGGAATGAGTTGTTTCAAAAAGAACTAAAAAACATATATAAACTCTATATATAATAAATGTATATATAAATAACTTTTATTTAACCTTACCATAAACATATACACAAAACTATTATCGGTGATGACATTGCCCGGTATCAAGAAATTCTTCTCGAATGCTAAATCTTCAATAATCTGAAATTTATCTAAAATTTCATGATATTGTGTCAGAGTTATATCGTTATGAGTACTCGATACGGTATGATAGATGGGTATTTCCTTTGGCCGTTTAGTGGCCTCATATAGTTTTGATGTTTTCCACGTATAATAGAGTAACGTCTTTGTTACCAAATCTTGTGGTATCAAATCCAAGCGTTGATCTGGTGCAAGGTAAATAGTTTTTAAAACTCCAGCTGCCATGCTGACAAATAAACCCATTGCACCGGTAAGTGGTGTGGGAAAACCGGGTTCCGGTTCCTCCACAGCGTGAACAACTGGAAGAGATAGAGAAACATTTATCAAACGTCAGTGTCGTGTCCACTTAAAAAACTTACTTATCGATGGCCTGAATATGGCCAATGGTAGTTTGTGCCGGAAATCATTCACCATGGATTCAACCAAGTTTTTGGTAAATGTGTAGGTATTGGGAAACCCAATAATTAATCTGAAAATAAAATAATAGTTCTAAACGATTTTTAATTTAAATATTTCCATAAACTTACTTTCTTGTCAATGTATTCAACATATCATCCGACACATCGCGACGTTGAGCTAAATCCAAACAAAATTTCCAATCCATTGGTGATTGATATAATTTCGGTTCTACATATCTCAAATAAGGATTACTATAGAAGGTCGAGACATGCATTAGAATTTTAAGATTTTTCATATTTTCTGCCAATTTTAAAACTTCATGTGTCCCGCCAACATTTATTTTTATGGCATTCCGTAGGGTCTCATCAAAACGTATTGTTGCAGCACTATGAATAATTATCGAAACATTATTCAAATATTTGGTATATTCGCCAGTGATACCCAGTTGGGGTAGTTCCACATCACCGGGTATCGCCATGACTTTGTCATCAAATTCTGTGGGTTTTTCGGTCATTAGGCGGCGAAAGTTCTGGAAATTAAGAATAAAAAGCGTGCAATAGAAAATATTGTTGGAAATAATATGTTGGGAAATCTTACCAATTCTGATTTTAGTCTTTTCAAACGTTCCTCTAGACTATAATTTTTCTTCGGGCGCAGCAATAAATAAATTCGTCGTACATTGCAGGATCTCAGAAGTTTCTCAATGAGAGCTTTACCGACAGTGCCTGAAATTGATAAGAAAAAAGTGCATTGGTTTGAAGATGCATTCAAAAAAATATCCCTTTAAAAATCCATATCCATAGGTAGCTTGAAAAAATATCCCTTTAAAAATCCATATCGATAAGTAGTTTGAAATAATATACCTTTAAAAATCCATATCGATAGGTCGCTTGAAAAATATCCCTTTAAAAATCCATACCCATAGGTAGCTTGAAAAAATATCCCTTTAATAATCCATATCGATAAGTAGCTTGAAATAATATACATTTAAAATCCATATCGATATGTAGCTTGAAAAAATATCCCTTTAAAAATCCATACCCATAGGTAGCTTGAAAAAATATCCCTTTAAAAATTCATATCGATAGGTAGATTGAAAAAATATACCTTTAAAAATTCATATCGATAGGTAGCTTGAAGAAATATCCCTTTAAAAATTCATATCGATAGGTAGCTTGAAAAAATATCCCTTTAAAAATCCGTCCCCGTAGCTTGAAAAAATATTCCTTTAAAAAATCCACGCCTAATGGTAGCTTGAAAAAATATTCCTTTAAAAAATCCACGCCTATTGGTAGCTTGAAAAAATATCCCTTTTAAAATCCGTATACAAAGGTAGCTTGAAAATTGGGAGTTTGGTGTATCATTCACAAAAAAAACGGACGAAACTATATATGGGAGCTATATTTAAATCTGAATAGATTTTAACAAAACTTCGCATGCATCAGTCTGGACCTAATTCAGTATTCTGGGCAAAATGTTGTCTCAATCGGACAAATATTGGGGGTTTGGTGAATCATTCACCAAAAAAATCTGACGAAACTATATATGGGAGCTATATTTAAATCTAAATCGATATTAACAAAACTTAACATACATCAGTCTGGACCTGATTCAGTGCGATGTGCAGAATGTTGTCACAATCGGACAAATATTTGGAGTTTGGTGCACCATTAACCTAAAATCTGACGAAACTATATATGGGAGCTATATCTGAAACTGAACCGATTCCAACAAAATTTCGCATACATAAGTATGGACCTGTTTCAGTGTTCTGTGCAAAATTTTGTCACAATCGGACAAATATTTGGAGTTTTGTGTGCCATTAACCTAAAATCGGACGAAACTATGAGAAATTTATCTAAATCTGAACCGATTTTAACAAAACTTCGCAGACATCAATTCTGAACCTAATTTTGTCCCAATCGGACAAATATTGGGAGTTTGGTGCACCATTCACATAAAATCGGACGAAACTATATATGGGAGCTATATCTAAATCTGAACCGATTCCAACAAATTTGGGTCAAATAAGTGACATGTATGAAGTTTCATCCAAATCGGATCATAAATGCGACCTTTACTTTGTTCACAAAATACGTGGACGGACAGACGGACATGCATAAATCGACTCAGAAAGTGATTCTATGTATATTCTCAAAAGGAACCATGGGTCTATCTCGATTATTTTTGCCTGTTACAAACTTATGCACAACGACATAATACCCTGTACCACAGTGTGGTGAAGGGTATAAAAATATCCCTTTAAAAAATCCACGCCTATTGGTATCTTAAAAAACCAGTGAGCGGAGCAGTATAGTCGGACGGGGCCGACCATACGATACCCTACACAACTACCACGGAACTCAATTTTTTTGCGGATGATTATTCCGAGCCTGGGCAATATTTCGTGATATTTCTCCATCTTGCCCGATTAGAGGTAAACAGCACCTCACAGTGACATATTTTCCGAATATTTCGAGTATTCAGTACAGCTATTGTCCAGATTCCTTCGGCCTTTTGGTCTATAGATCGACTCGAAAATAACACAAAAAATTAAGTTTTCGGTCCACTTCGTTCCAAAATTATTATCTTATCATCACCGAAAATTATAGTCGTTGTCCTTGACCATAACTGCAACCTCATGGAACATTTCAAAGCAATCAGCGCTATATTTCCGCCCTCCAGTATGGTAATGGGTTACTAAATAATATACGTATACGGAGATACCTGTAAATATTTGGGTGTAACTCCCACATCCGAGCACATACAACAATATAATTGGTATTAATTTAAAGGTCAACCACTCCTCTTGTATATAAAATCAACTTCTCGGGTCCATGTCCATCAGGGACAAATATATATGTCATTTTTCACACAAAAGTCAGGGTCCATTTGACCCGCTAAATATTGACCGATCTTTATCAAAACATGTATGCTTATTCTTTGGCCCGATCCCCTTCTCCATGCAAAATTTCAAGATGTTCGAGCCATTATTGCGGCCTCTGGAGCGACCAGAAAAACCGACAGAAATTTAGTATTTGGTCCATTTCATCCCCTAAATATTAACCGATCTTTCCCAAAAATAGGGGTCTTCATTGGCCAGAACCCATCCTACATGCGAAATTTCGTGAACATTGGTCCATAACTGTGGCCTGTATCGTGTTTACAAATTATAATGGACAGACGGACGGACGGACACACATGTCTAGATCAACTCAGCTAGTCGAGATATGACGATCGTATACTTAAAGGTGGGTCTAGGACCAATATTTCGCGGCGTTACAAACTTTTGGGGCTGCACAAAGCTATAATACCCTGACAACATAGTTGTGTAGGGTATAATAATTACTTTAAAAAATCCACGCCTATTGGTATCTTAAAAAATATTTACTTTAAAAAATCCACGCCTATTGGTATCTTAAAAAATATTTACTTTAAAAAATCCACGCCTATTGGTATCTTAAAAAATATTTACTTTAAAAAATCCACGCCTATTGGTATCTTAAAAAATATTTACTTTAAAAAATTCACGCCTATTGGTATCTTAAAAAATATTTACTTTAAAAAATCCACGCCTATTGGTGGCTTGATAAAAAATTCTTTTAAAAAATCATGCCTATTGGTCTTTACAAAAATATTCCTTTATTAAAATCACGTCTATAGGTCAAATGTTGCTTGGAGAAAAATCCTTCAAAATCCAACTTACCCGATCCTCCAGTAATAAATATTTCACGATTTTCAAAAAATTCCGATATTATGTTCGACATTGTGCCTTTTTGTTTTTATTTTTTTTCTGATGTTGTTATATGACAAATAAGTTTTAAACTAAATGAAACTGTTTCATGGAAATAACTTTACACCGATGTAATATGGCTATTAGCCTCTGCAATTAATCGGATATTTACCATAAATTTTGCATTCACTGTTGCTTAAATTAAATAATTGATGACACCTAAATTACCGGTTCACAATCGAACAAACGCACGAACCTGCAAATGTTTACGGAAATATATTTGGTCATGAATATAAGTGAATGACCGAATTATTATCCGAAAAAAAAATCGAGGAAAGAAATTTTGCAATTTTGGGACTCTATTGAATGAAGAGGTGATATAGGCGAAATATTTAGGAGTTTTTACTAGAACCGCATTATTAAATATGATATGGGCATAAACATGTTTTTTCTTTATTTTTTCTTTACTTTGTATCTGCAACAAAGACAAATTTTGTTGGCCTATATTGCCCTCTAAATATTAATTGGATTTTTTGTCTAAATAAAACTAAATATAAATAATGCCCTACATTATATTTGTTTGTTGTTGACGGTATATATTAGAGATATGCGTGGACATGATTTATTAGAATGGACGTTTTTAATTAAAAACGACAACGATGAATGCAAAATTTTATTTGTTTGGTCACAGTGGGCTATATTTTTCAGATATACACAATAACAGTGGGTGGTTAAATAATTTTTTGGGGCTGATAGAGATTCTTGCGATATTCTTGCGGTCTTGAAATACCAATTCATGCCGGAATTTAAGAGTATACAAGGGTTCAGTCGAAAGACTTCAACACATGTATGTTTCATAGACTTTTCAGGATATTGATACCAAACATCCTTGTAGTACTTCTAATTTATTTGCAAAATATCGCCTACGTGTTAGCGACGTTTTAATTAACTTTTTAATATATCATTAAACATATTTTCTATTTTTTTTTTAATTTAATACAATCGTCCCACTGTTTTTGTGTATGTTGTTTGCTGTAATTATTAGCTATCCTTCATTTAAATAAAGAACTGATGACGGAAATACCTTAATTTGTCATTTGCAATAAAGACGACAACAGCCTCAATGAATATGGCCTCATGAAAAGAAGTGCAACACATGTTGCATCGAATGGCAAATAGCAACTATTTCTCAATTGACACCGATTCCGTTGAAATGCACAATGTCATTTTTTTTTATTTATTTAAAACATAAAAAAATTTTAACCAGTGAGCGGAGCAGTATAGTCGGACGGGGCCGACCATATGATACCCTACACAACTACCACGAAAAGCAAACTTTCTGCGGTTCTATATTCTGAGCCTGGGCAATATTTCGTGATATTTGCACCCTTTTTGCCGATTATAGATCAACAACTTCACTTTCTAACCCTGGCATATTTTCCAAATGTGAATTTTGACGCCATAAAATACAAAATTGGTCTCTTTAGGTTTTTGTTAATTTGAACCTCGGAATATTGACCGATCATCATGTAAACAGCCGCTCTAAGTATTTGGTCAGATCCCCTTCACCTTGTAAAATATGTGATGTTCTGCTATAATAATTGCCTCTAGAGCGACTAGAAAATCTGACAAAATTAATGTTTTCTGTTCATTGCACCCCCTGAATGAAATCTTAACTTCACCGTACATGTACAATTTCAAAGTGAACAGCGCGACATTTCCGTCCTCTAATGGAGTTATAGTAATACTAGGAACATAGTCACCTTTACCTAATTACGGATAACTCCCACAACAGAGTACATACAGCCATATAATTGGTATTAATTTGAAGGTCAACAACTCTTCTTGGATATACTATCAACTTCTCGGGTATATGTCCTTCAGGCGCAAGTATATATGCCCCAGAATAAAGATTTTGTATTTTTTCACACAAAAGTCAGGGTCCATTTGACCCGCTAAATATTGACCGATCTTTATCAAAACAGGCATGCTTATTCTTTGGCCCGATCCCCTTCTCCATGTAAAAATTCGCGAAGTTTGGGCCATAATTGCGGCCTCTGGAGCGACAAGAAAAACCAACAAAATTAAGTTTTTGGTCCATTTCATCCTCTAAATATTAGCCGATCTTTTCCAAAAACAATAGGGTTCTTCGTTGGCCAGAACCCATCCTACATGCAAAATTTCGTGAAGATTGGTCCATAACTGTGGCCTGTATCGTGTTTACAAATTATAATGGACAGACGGACGAACGAACGGACACACATGTCTAGATCGACTCAGCTAGTCGAGATATGATGATCGGTATACTTAAAGGTATATTTCGCGGCGTTACAAACTCTTGGGGCTACACAAAGCTATAATACCCTGACAACATAGTTGTGTAGGGTATAAAAATATTAAAAAAAAATATTTTTGAAGAATCCACGCCATATATTGATTTAAAAAAATAATTTAAAAAAATCCACGCCTTATTTTGGCCCTTAAAAATACTTGTAAAAAATTCACGCCTTATTTTGGCCACGCCTGGCACTTGAAAAATATATCTTGAAAAATTGTATATGGCCCTTTCTATTACTATAATAATTTAGCTACAATGTATAAACAACAACAAAAAAATCCCAAAACATAAAACAACAAATGCATTTCAATTTTGAATATGTCCACTTATGACGCTAATCATTATTAAAATATTTACCAAAATCTGCGACACCTAATTTTTTTGGCTTGTTGGTGGCCATAAATCGGTTCAGATTCAGATATAGCTCCCATATATATTTTCGTCCGATTTTATGTAAATGGTGCACCAAAGCCACTGAAAATCATTCGATTAGCACAAAATTTGGCACAGCGTAATGAATTAGGTCTAGAATGATGTGCGTTAAGTTTCATGAAAATCGATTCAGATTTAGATATATAGCTCCCATATATATTTTCGCCCGATTTAAGGTAAATGGTGTACCAAAGTCAATATATATCTTTCGATTTGCAAGAAATTTGGCATAAGGTACTGTATTAGGTCCATAATGATGTGTGCTAAGTTTCGTGAAAATCGGTTCAGATTTAGATATAGCTTCCATACATAGTTGTGTCCAATTTTATGTAAATGGTGCACCTAAGGTCCTATATATCTTTTGATTTGCACGAAATTTTGCATAGTGAACTGAATTGAGTCTAGAATGACGTGTGTTAAGTTTCATGGAAATCGGTTCACCTCCTATATATATTTTCGTCCGATTTTAAGTAAATGGTGCACTAAAGATCCATAGCCATATATTGATTAAAAAAAAAATATTTAAAAAAAAATCCACGCCTTTTGGCCCTTAAAAATATTTTTAAAAAATCCACGCCTTTTGGCCCTTAAAAATATTTTTAAAAAATCCACGCCTTATTTTGGCCATGCCTAGCACTTGAAAATTATATATTGAAAAAGTGTATATGGCCCTTTCGATTACTATATTAATTTAGCTACAATGTATAAACAACAACAACAAAACCCAAAACATAAAACAACAAATGCATTTCAATTTTGAATATGTCCACTTATGACGCTAATCATTATTAAACTATTTACCAAAATCAGCGACACCTCATCTTTATGGCTTGTTGGTGGGCTGGCTCGATTTCGGTGATGTATGAGACCGCCTGCAAGTACGTACGTCCACAATGTCTATGTAAATATGTATGAATGATTTTTTTTAAACGAAAAATAGCTTCGTCATTTTGAAACTATGCACAATTTCGCCCTGAGTTCATTTCATTTTCAAGAGAAAAAAAATGAAACCAAATTACCAAAAAAATAACAAAAAATAAATAATTAAAATAATTTGTAGCCTGGCGCACAGTACATACACACATACACTTTTACAGATAATGATAATTATGATATTTATATTAGCCTTAATCTTTCTTGTACAAACATACTTACACACACTGTGGCTAGAAATTTTGCACACCGAATAAAAATGACAGCTGTCTAGGAATGTCAATTAGGATGTCTGAATATGGTGTAATGTCTAAACACATTCTAATTTGTCTTTTTAGAGAACAAGAACAGAGTTTGTGTGTGTTTTATTTTTAATTTATTTTTTTATTGCATTCTTTAATACATCATAAGTTCATTTCATTTATTTCTTTTTAAATCACAACAATTTGTAATCACTTAGTTGCCTAACTAATTAAAATAAAAATAAAAACAACAAAAAACAAAAGAAATACTATTTAGCAAAATACCACTAAATATGCCGCCTCCGACTCCGGCTTCCCCTCATAATTTTCGTACCACAAATTCCCTCTCAAAGATTCTCCTCGGTTATCAACTTTTTGAGAGTACAATCTCCAGCTCCCAATTTTTCCAACAGCTCCAACAGTTCAGCTCTATAACGATCTTTACATTTGATCTGTTCTTCGGTAAACTCTTCTGTGGTAGGTCGGGACATTCTCCAAATGACATTGAGTTTAGCCTCGACTAGCACATAATTGGATGGCGGACAAAAGCGTGGACACATTTCATTAATGAAGGTTATCATATCACTAACACTGCAGGCATTAATACGATTGTTGATTGTATTCAAGGCAAAATCCTGATATCGGGCCATTTTCGAATGGGGAAATACTGTTTCACAGGTAAGGCAACGCCAATCCGGTTGTAGGGTTTTAGTTTGCACCGGTATCACAATACCCTTACAGCCTTGTTCGCGGCAAAACAGAGCCGAGAGATAGGTACCATTTTCCTGAAAGGAGAGAAGAAAATAATTCGGAATTAATTTTAAAATATTCTCTTTCAAAAATATCCCTAAAAATCGATAAAAAGTTTTAGAAAAGCATCTAATATTTTACTCTATAAATTTACGTAACTCAGGTCTTAAAAAAATCAATATTTCTTGAAGACCCTAAAATTGTTATACCCTTCACCACACTATGGTACAGGGTATTATGTCTTTGTGCATATGTTTGTAACAGGCAAAAGGAAACGAGATAGACACATGGTTCCTTTTGAGAATATGCAATGAATCACTTTCTAAGTCGATTTATGCATGTCCATCCGTTCGTCCGTCTGTCCATGTTAAATTGTAAACAAAGTACAGGTCGCATTTTTGATCCGAATTGGATGAAATTTGACATAGGTCACTTATTTGGCCCAAGATATAGATCCCATATATATTTTCGTCCGATTTGCACAAAATTTGGCACAGCGTAATGAATTAGATGTAGAATGATGTGTATAAGGTTTCTTGAAAATCGGTTCAGATTTGGATATAGCTCCCATATATTTTTTCGTCCGATTTAATGTACATGGTGCACCAAGGTCCCTATATATCTTTCGATTTGCACGAAATTTGGCACAACGTAATGAATTAGATCTACAATGATGTGTGTAAGGTTTCATGAAAATCGGTTCAGATTTAGATATAGCTCCCATATATATTTTTGTCCGATTTAAGGTAAATGGTGTACCTAAGTTCCTGAAAATCATTCGATTTGCACGAAATTTGGCATAGCGTAATGAATTAAGTCTAGAATAATATGTGTTAACTTTCTTGAAAATCGGTTCAGATTTAGATATAACTCCCTTATATATTTTCGTCCGATTTAAGGTAAATGGTGTACCAAAGTCAATATATATCTTTCGATTTGCAAGAAATTTGGCATAAGGTACTGTATTAGGTCCATAATGATGTGTGCTAAGTTCCATGCATAGTTGTGTCCGATTTTATGTAAATGGTGCACAAAAGCCCCTAAATATCTTTCAATTTGTACGAAATTTTGCATAGTGTACTGAATTGAGTCTAGAATGACGTGTGTTAAGTTTCATGAAAATCGGTTCAGATTTACATACACCTCCTATATTTATTTTCGTCTGATTTTAAGTAAATGGTGCACTAAAGATCCATAACTATGCCGATTGACACAACGTACTGAAGGTAATATAAATTAATCGCTGGCATGTTGCCTTGAAATCAGTTCAGATATAGATATAGCTTAGCTTCTATAAATAATTTCGACATATTTTCCGAATACTACTAATATTCCGTATTGCTGTTCTAATTATTTGTCCAGATTCCCTTCACCGTGTAGTGTTGTGATATTCGGCTTTCAATTGTGGCCTATAGACCGACTCGAAAAAAAAAATGTTTTCACTCCACTTCATACCAAAATTGTTGTTGTCCTTGATCAGCGTATATTTCCGCTTCTAATGTGGTAATGGGTTACTAAATAATATATGAATGCGTAAGCACCTGGTAATATTTGAGTGTAACTCCCACATACGACAATATAATTGGTATCAATTTAAAGGCCAACCACTCCTCTTGGATATACAATCGATTTCTCAGGCCAATGTCCTTCAGGAGTAAATATATACGATATAGAAAACAAATGTTGTCATTTTTAACACAAAAGTCAGGGTCGATTTGACCCGCTAAGTATTGACCGATTTTTATCAAAACAGGCATGCTTATTCTTTGGTCCGATCCCCTTCTCCATGTTTGGGCCATAAATACGGCCTCTGGAGCGACCAAAAAATCAGACAAAAATAAAGTTCTTGGTGCATTTCATCCCCTAAATATTAACCGATAATTACGAAAAACAATAGGGGTCTTCATTGGCCAGAACCCATCCTACTCGCAAAATTTCGTGAATATTTGTCCATAACTGTGGCCTGTATCGTGTTTACAAATCTTAATGGACAGACGGACGGATGGACACACATGTCCAGATCGACTCAGCTAGTTGAGATATGATGATCGGTATACTTAAAGGTAGGTCTAGGACCAATATTTCGCGGTGTTACAAACTCTTGGGGCTGCACAAAGCTATAATCCCCTGACAACATAGTTATGTAGGTTATAAAAATCTAGGCCTTCATTGGAGAATTTACAGCCTTGAGATTTTACCTCTTTTAAAATATTTCTCAATTTTTATTTTGTTTGCAGAACGTATGCTTCGCTCTATTTCCGATATTTTTTTTTTTTTTTTGCATAACATTTGTTTCTTTCATAGGATGACGTCTTTACGCTTAAGTGATTTTTTATGTTTGATTCTACATATGTACAGTGGTGGCCACAGAATTAAAACATTTACTGTGGTAAACATTTTTTGATCAGCCCTCGATTCGTTTGAAGTATTTTGGAAAATTTTTTAATTCAGAACACTTCGATATACTGCACTTAAGAGATTTAGTGTGGAAATGGAAAATTATTTCATGCAATTTTTCCATAAATAACGGTTTTTATGAAAATACATCGACTTTGAAGTGGCCATATAATTAAAACATTGTGTAATTTTTTACTTTACTGCATTTTTTTTTAATATTTTTTAAAAAAGCTCTTTAATTTAGTTAAATTATGTAAACTAAGCACCGATAAAATCATTTACTGATAAAAATTTTTGAAAAAAATCTGTAAAATCTATCAAAATTGCCAACAATTTGTACAGTACACCTAACATTCAGAAAATCACCTTTATTATAGAAAATAAAGGTCCGAATGCACCAGAAATTGCTAGAATTAGTAAAAAACAATAAATAATTCTCAAAATAAATAAATATTTGAAATAAAAACTCAAAAAATGGGAATTAACCTAAAGGAACGATTCAATTTCAATAGCCTTTACTGAAGAAGGCCGGAATATTTTTGCAGTATGTGAGAAAATATCGATTGATATTGGTATTTATTATATCAAATCGATTGTTCGAGTGGTACAGAATATATTTAATCAAAAAATTTATCAGTCACAACAGAACGAACAGAGATCAACACCTATGTTGACGAGAAAACGTTTCTGGTACACAGCAGCATGTTTGATGGTTAACTCTTGACCCTTCAAATCTATTGAACATGACAATATTTTTCCAAAATAATATTTTTTGGAGAGAATAATGCCCATTTAATCTATTTTAGCCTAAAAGAAAGAAAAATTTTACAATTTGACAAATATTTAAAGTCTTGTGTTGAGCATCAAAAATGCTGCTGTGTGGCGGAATCTTTTACTCGTCAACATAGGCATTGATCTCTGTTCTTTCTGTTGTGACTGGTATATTTTTTGATAAAATATATTCTGTACTACTCGAACAATCGATTTGATGTAATAAATGCCAATATCAATCGATATTTCCTCACATACTGCAAAAATATTCCGGCCTTCTTCAATAAAGGCTATTGAAATTGAATCGTTCCTTTAGGTTAATTCCCATTTTTTAAGTTTTTATTTCAAATATTTATTTATTTTGAGAATTATTTATTGTTTTTTACTAATTCTAGCAATTTCTGGTGCATTCGGACCTTTATTTTCTATAATAAGGGTTATTTTCTGAATGTAAGGTGTACTGTACAAAGTTTTGGCAATTTGATAGATTTTACAGATTTTTTTCAAAAATTTTTATCAGTAAATGATTTTATCGGTGCTTAGTTTACATAATTTAACTAAATTAAAGAGCTTTTTAAAAAAATATTAAAAAAAAAAATGCAGTAAAGTAAAAAATTACACAATGTTTTAATTATATGGCCACTTCAAAGTCGATGTATTTTCATAAAAACCGTTATTTATGGAAAAATTGCATGAAATAATTTTCCATTTCCACACTAAATCTCTTAAGTGCAGTATATCGAAGTGTTCTGAATTAAAAAATTTTCAAAAATACTTCAAACGAATCGAGGGCTGATCAAAAAATGTTTACCACAGTAAATGTTTTAATTCTGTGGCCACCACTGTATATGCTATGTCTATACATACATACATATACAAAACATACATTTGTCAATTTATCGACGTCATTAAAAGTTTGGCGTTTCTTTCCAAAAAAATAAAAACAATAACAAACAAATAATTAAAATATGTAGTCCAGGAGTTTGTCTGATAAGCAAACAATTTAAGAGACCCACAGCATCTTATTATAAATCACTTTAAATATTTCAAATTCTTTGTTGAATTCTGAAAGAAACAAAAGTTGGGGATAAATACATATCTAATTTTTGTGAACAGTGGCGATCATTTATTCAGGGACAAGGTAATGGAAAACATGAACTATAAAAATAATAGATATACATTCCATTATTTTTATGTTTAAATTCATTTTTTTAAATACAACCGACCCCTAGTCTCAAATTCAACATACATAGAATAGCCAATCATTATTTATACATTTGCGCCATCGAAAAAAGTTCATTGATTGTTTGGTTCCTTGGTCTTCCTCTTCTTTAAGTTTACATTCATTTACATATATGTATGTATGCATTTAATACAAAAACAACAACAAATTCTCTGTCAATGTCCACCACCACCAACCAACCAGCCAACCACTACAGTCAAGACCAACAAATAATTAACATATCACAAAAGTGTTCAAGTAAAACTGCATTAACATAAACCACAACAACAACGTCAACAGCAACAACAACAAAGCAAAATTTACATGCGAAAATGTTTCATTCGTGTAATTTATTGTTTTCTATTCAAAACAATTTGTGTATACTTATACCAGTACTTAGCTGTTGTTTGTGTTGTTGTTTTTTGCTTTTACCATGAATGAATAAAAGAATAAGAGCATTTGATGTCATCATGCAAAGCCACTTTGAAGCACTTGTACCCCATCTAATGGATGGCGGTTAAGCAAGGCAGACCCCCACAACAACAAGAACAGCAGCAACACGCAAGTGTTGCTAATATAACAAAAAACTGCAAAACTGTAACACAATGGAGGATGAGGGCTCTACAACAATAACATTAACATATG